AATCATCACAACCTCTGTTGTCTTCCTGTCATCTCATCCAGGCATCAAAACATTACAAACTCTGTTGTCTTCCTGTTATCTCACCCGGGTATTCAAATCATTACAACCTCTGTTGTCTTCCTGTCACCTCACCCGGGTATTCAAATCATCACAACCTCTGCTGTCTTCCTGTCATCGTACCTGGCATTCAAATCATTACAACCTCTGCTGTCTTCCTGTCACCTCACCCGGGCATTCAAATCATCACAACCTCTGCTGTCTTCCTGTCACCTCACCCGGGCATTCAAATCATCACAACCTCTGCTGTCTTCCTGTCACCTCACCCAGGCATTCAAATCATCACAACCTCTGTTGTCTTCCTGTCACCTCACCCGGGTATTCAAATCATCACAACCTCTGCTGTCTTCCTGTCATTGTACCTGGCATTCAAATCATTACAACCTCTGCCGTCTTCCTGTCACCTCACCCGGGCATTCAAATCATCACAACCTCTGTTGTCTTCCTGTCACCTCACCCGGGCATTCAAATCATTACAACCTCTGCTGTCTTCCTGTCACCTCACCTGGGTATTTAAATCATCACAACCTCTGTTGTCTTCCTGTCATCGTACCTGGCATTCAAATCATCACATCCTCTGTTGTCTTCTTTTCATCTCACCCGGGCATTCAAATCATTACAACTTCTGCTGTCTTCCTGTCACCTCACCCGGGCATTCAAATCATTACAACCTCTGCTGTCTTCCTGTCACCTCACCCAGGCATTCAAATCATCACAACCTCTTTTGTCTTCCTGTCATCGTACCTGGTATTCAAATCATCACATCCTCTGTTGTCTTCCTGTCATCTCACCTGGGTATTCAAATCATCACATCCTCTGTTGTCTTCCTGTCATCGTACCTGGCATTCAAATCATCACATCCTCTGTTGTCTTCCTGTCATCTTACTCGGGTATTCAAATCATCACATCCTCTGTTGTCTTCTTTTCATCTCACCCGGGCATTCAAATCATCACAACCTCTGTTGTCTTCTTTTCATCTCACCCGGGCATTCAAATCATTACAACTTCTGCTGTCTTCCTGTCACCTCACCCGGGCATTCAAATCATTACAACCTCTGATGTCTTCCTGTCACCTCACCCAGGCATTCAAATCATCACAACCTCTTTTGTCTTCCTGTCATCGTACCTGGTATTCAAATCATCACATCCTCTGTTGTCTTCCTGTCATCTCACCTGGGTATTCAAATCATCACATCCTCTGTTGTCTTCTTTTCATCTCACTCGGGCATTCAAATCATTACAACCTCTGCTGTCTTCCTGTCACCTCACCCGGGCATTCAAATCATTACAACCTCTGCTGTCTTCCTGTTTCCTCACCCAGGCATTCAAATCATCACAACCTCTTTTGTCTTCCTGTCATCGTACCTGGCATTCAAATCATCACATCCTCTGTTGTCTTCCTGTCATCTCACCTGGGTATTCAATTCATCACATCCTCTGTTGTCTTCTTTTCATCTCACCCAGGCATTCAAATCATTACAACCTCTGCTGTCTTCCTGTCACCTCACCCGGGCATTCAAATCATTACAACCTCTGCTGTCTTCCTGTCACCTCACCTGGGCATTCAAATCATTACAACCTCTGCTGTCTTCCTGTCACCTCACCCGGGTATTCAAATCATCACAACCTCTGTTGTCTTCCTGTCATCGTACCTGGCATTCAAATCATCACAACCTCTGTTGTCTGCCTGTCGCCTCAGCCAGGCATTCAAATCATCACATTCTCTGTTGTCTTCCTGTCATCTACCCGAGTATTCAAATCATCACAACCTCTGTTGTCTTCCTGTCATCTCACCTGGGCATTCAAATCATTACAAACTCTGTTGTCTTCCTGTCATCTCACCCGGGTATTCAAATCATCACAACCTCTGTTGTCTTCTTTTCATCTCACCTGGGTATTCAAATCATCACAACCTCTGCTGTCTTCTTTTCATCTCACCTGGGTATTCAAATCATCACAACCTCTGTTGTCTTCCTGTCATCGTACCTGGCATTCAAATCATTACAAACTCTGTTGTCTTCCTGTCATCTTACTCGGCATTCAAATCATCACATCCTCTGTTGTCTTCCTATCATATCACCCGGCATTCAAATCATCACAACCTCTGCTGTCTTCCTGTCATCTCACTCGGTATTCAAATCATCACAACCACATGCTGTCTTCCTGTCATGTCTTCCTGTCATGAATACTTAGCCGAGTATTCAAATCATCACAACCTCTGTTGTCTCCTATGAGTAAACTGGCATGTAACAGGATGTAGCTTATGCTTGATATATATTTGTTTGTTTTTGGTAGATTTTTGATGTGGTATCAAAGCCACAACCTATCAATGTGGCGTACTCTACAGCCAAAATACCATTTCATATGGATTTAGTGTATTATGAATCACCACCTGGGTTACAGTTACTTCATTGTTTAAGGTAAATAATTCACACTTTCACAATAGCAATCGCTATATTGTTGCCCTTGGAAGTGTTATACCCTGTCTTTATACAGATGTATGAATGATTCCTTTATTGAGTTCATGGATAGGTGTGATATAATGTTGAGATATGTGATAACATAAAATGAAGTGAGATAAAAATCTAGTTAAATATATTAAATATTCACAGAATCCTGATGAAC